AATATTTGAATAACAGGCGAAATAATTTTTTGTATGATCTCTAAAGATTTATTTAATTGAATGTGTGATTAGCAAAGAAGTGTCTAGTTACTTTAGGTACTACCCTTAAGTGACATCTTTAGACCTAACAATAAAATCTCCGCTGATAGATACAAAAGTATCTATTAAAGTCCTAATCGTAGTAAAAAATATGACTTCTATTTTAGGGATGATTTTATATTTGTGAAAATTTTGGAAAATTTATAAATATACATATATAAACTTTAAAAATGACTGAATTACAGTCCTTATAAAAGGTGTGAACTGGATAAAGACAGAAGATGACTGTAGAAGCTATTGTTTTACTGTAATGATAAAAGTTGAATTTGTGTCCCGAAGGTAATCCATTTTTTTTTTATTAAATAATTTAGTAAATAAGATACAAACTTTAATAGTTCAAAGTTATGGAACCTGGGCTCCCCTGAATAAAAACAAAAATGTTCATGGCGTTCTTCATCTCCTGGATACAGATATTTGAGACATTGGCAAGATTTATTCATAATCAAAATATAATACAATGAATGCTTCATTGTATTCAAGATTATGAAATCAAAATGAAAATCATACACACAACATAATTTTATTCTACGTGATTTCTCAAAAATCTTTATCAAAAGTAACCACTACCTGAATGTCTGATAGCCGCACGAGGGCATAGCCGCAACAGGTTGACCTTAAGGCACCTGTCGCTATTGAGAGGTCCACTGCGGACTCGTTTATTTTGCGCAACGGGATTGGCGCAAAAAGTAAATGAAAAGTAGTAGAGGAGGGGACTTTTAAGGAGGTGTTTGCCTTGTTCCAGCCATGTAAGAGACCTTTCGAATCTCTCCTTGTGCCGCCATACTGGATTTCGAAATTAATACAAACTTGCCGAATAATTATTCAAAAATTTCCAGTCATAACATAGAAATGCAACTTTCAAACACAAACTTCACAAGGAAAATCTTATACTGCATTTGCTTAAAGTGACATGGATGATGTCTTGGAAAAAAACAGAATACCCCTACTTAGCGATGCGGATAAATCAAAGCCTGTAATTGCCTAAGGCAATAAGGTCTGAGAATCGATTATTCTGATATTCCAATGATCTGTTCCAAAATGACGTCATTGGAACGTGTAGTTAATCGTTTCGTATAAACTCTGAATCAGTAAACATCCACACAAGATATTTCATATACCTTTAAATTGCGTTTCCTAGTCGGCTTACTATGGAATTTTACATATATTCTATAAACTTACTTTATTAATTTGTATAAAAAATTGTTTATTTTTTTTTCTTAACGTAAAAGAAGTAACAGGTGCGATAAATTGAATCTACCAGCAATTAAAGGATGTGCCCATATAGCTAACAATCCTTGAACGATCGGTAGATTACTCAGATAATTACCATAGAAGCGTGACTAGGTAATACCAGATAGAGATTCTCCATCGAAGGTTTCGAATCATTTCTTCGTGTATGGGTTTTTGTTGTAGGTTCAACAATAAAAAAATAAATAAGTTATAAAAAAAATAATATGGAAACCTTTAGTATAAGGCGTACCCTGTCCGCCTTGTATCTTCCAACGCAATTATCCATTTATAGAAAACGATAGGATAAACAGCGTGTCCTTGTTATTTTATTCAATTATTAAATATTCATAAACGATATGAATTTTATTAAATATAAATGCCGTTTAATATTAATAAAGATGTAAATTTTAGAGGTTAAAGAGAATAAATAAATATAAATATACGTAAAAAATGAATAAAGAAGAAGGTTTTGGAGGACGTGGGAGCTAATGGCAAGTATCTTCAAGTTTTTGCGCAGGAAGTTTGTGGTCAACATTGTGCGCTCTTCGCCTGATTCATTTCCAGACTAAGACAGGATTATATCAACTAATTAATTAATTCATCAATAAATATAAAATAATTCTAATTAATTAACTAATTCTTTTAAGTGGTAGAAGTTCCAAGAGACCGTCTGTCTTACGCTATATGATTCTTACTTCGTCACAAATAAAATTATCCATAATGGCCTTAATGTTCCATATGATGCCGAATAAGCCCAATCCAGTTATCTATCTTTTCATAATAAACTTCAAGCCCATCCAAACCTACTTTTATAATCTCCCAAGTCTCTTGATTATTTTTCGATTCCTTACAATCCTATACGGTTGAAAAGAAGATGTCCTTCTAATATATAACTATTATTGAAGTGCTACTAATGGTTAGTTTTTCTGAAAACCTGTCTAGGTACTATTACAAGCCATATTCACTTATTCAATTGTAAACATTAATAAATTGAAATAATAATTATACATTTTGTGTCACAAGCCCCCATTTTGTAAGACTACCTCGCTCCTTCCCTTACATACATTGAAAATTTCAATTTATATCATTTATGTAATGCTGTTAAAGAATTCATTATTGTATTAAATCATTATGGCTTTGTATAAAATTTAATGATTTTTTTTTTATATTTCGTTTCTGTGATATGGACTAAGTTTAATGATGGTTGTGGGGAATATGGAAACTTTTATAAGACATCGATTTCCATTGAAGGTCACCTATTTATGCAGATCAACTACACGTCATTCAAGCTCTACTTCATTACACAATTTCCGCTGGAGCTAAATTGGGCTGTGTAGTATGAGAGCCACGTCCGGAGACCTTGGAATCACGTGGCAACCCTTCAAGATGGGCGGAATGACAAGCAAGATCAAGATGACGATAAAATTCACTGTAAGCAAAAGCCCAACTAACTAAATCCAAAGAAATGCTAAAAACTCAGACAAATCTCATAAGCCCGTAAAAGCCCTAATAAGCTTTGTCCACGAGGCTCCCTCCCTTCACCAGCTCAAAGACCCACGTCAATCAGGACCAGACGCTCCAAATGGGCAAGGAGCATTAGCACTTCCGGACGACGACGTAACGTCGCCTCTGAAGAGAATCCACTTTTGATAGTATCCTGACGTACGGGGGCCCGACGCCGCTTTCAGTCTGGAAGGATTCGAATATGAATAGGTCCTGAGAAAAGACATGCTGTACACTGCCTAATTGCAGAGACAAAGCAGCCATAGATGGACCATCTGGAGAGGGTTAATTGGAGGCCTTGCTACAACAGACGGTACAATAGTACCTCACAGAAGACATAACCAAATGACTGATTGCCTGTGTGGTCTACGGTCATCTGCTTCTAGCTCGGTTAAGGAAGAAAAGTATGAATAATTGAGACTTAAGAGTGCTTGAACAGTTACTTACTTCCTTTACTTATAAGGATAACTAAGAATTGTATAATTAATACGAAGAAGGTCTATTTATGGAGAGTATTCATGATGATGCATGGTACACATGTTTTCAAAAAGATGCCAACAAAAAGACATACATTTTCATATATTTATTAGAGAGGAGATAAAAAATTATTCATACACGAGTTTATAATATCTATATCTACCTATACGTCTCAAAATACTAAATATATGTATTATTTCCATGATACAAGTTCCACAAGCGATGCCGAGAAGTTAAATAACTAGTAAAAAAATATTGGCTACATGACAGGGGAGAGTTTCATTCACCAATACTTCCTAAAATAACTCACTTTCTACATGCAACAAAATATTAGATGAAATAACTATGGTTTCCAATAAAATCCAATTGAGTCGCTGATTTACAAATAGAACCTTAATCGATTTTATTGGAAGAGGAACAATATAACAACATTGCACGGCTATGTTGAGTTGCTAAATAACACAGCATACTCATCAATCAATAAATAATACTGAAAAAAATATAAGAGAGTTAGGTCGGCCCATTGGAATACATCAGATATGCCAAGAATCAACACTTATAGAATCAAATAAGTAGATGCCTAGATCAAAATGTGTGGTGACAGAGGACTCCCAATGAATCTAAAACAATAGTTTCCACCATAGTCTGCATCTCTTCCCTTCCAACACCGAGCCTTTGCAAGAAATTAGTTGTAGTAAGAGGAATGGTTCTACTGCTTCCGAGCCATAGCCCTTTAGCTGAAGATTCCTCGTAAAATAAGTATCGTGTATATAAAAACATAGAATAAATCCGTTGGTGTAATTATTTTTTTCAAAAACCAATATAATATTAAAAATGTGTTTTTCATGCCGTTGTTTCTCTCTACACCGAATCTCAATCAACCTTTTTTTTAAATTCATTCTAAAAGTGGATCTATCCCGGATTTAATGGTCCTAATTACTATTGAAACAACCAGTGTTTTTTGGAAATATGTACAAGAAATGAAAAATTTCTAAATTTATTTTAAAAAAAATGATACAACTATTAGAATAGAAAACGTAGTTTTGGGGGTTTTCTGAAAAATTGTCAATGATGATTAGTGTTTTAAATAAAAGATTCAATAGGAACATTCATGAATGCTTAAATAATTTTTACAACTTTGAACATGGCTTCCTATCAAAATCATGGATATCAGGTAAGATTTTAACAAGTACTTGCAAACAGAAAATAAAATTTAAATTGATGCACTGGATAAAACCGTCCGAGTGTGTTCTTTGGAATGATATTTACACAATATGGTTGGTTGGGTTGTTTTCAATGCCCTTTTAAGGTATAACTGGGACAGGAGTTGGATTTTTTCTGTTTGTTCTTCGAACCAGTTCGACCATTTTGCTATCCTAATTGACTATTTGGGAAACTAATACAAACACTGACCCCGCTAAGGATGTAAAAGTAATATTTTGTAATAGTCATGAAAGAGCTAACGCAATAAACTCGTTTTATGAAGAAACCCTCGTAAAACGGAAATTTAACGCTTTCACTCGCCCCAACGTTGACTGACCTGTCTGCGATTTGATGAAACAAATACAATTTGGCATGGCCCATGACCCTTCCTCAGCAGATACAGATAGATCTGCCACAATCGTGAAGAATGGTCGAGGAGTCCGGCTCCTAGCGGCCGATGAGGGAATGAATTGTTTAAACCTTTGATGCTATCTCTTGAAGAGGGTACGCTGGCATTTAGCAGAAGACATTTCCACCACGAGTGAAAGTATTCCCTGAAGAAGAGCAACGCAAGGGTCTTCCATGGTGTCATTGCCTGCCACGCCATCGAACTATTCCTAATTAATCGTAATTAACTAATATACGAACGTTACTAATATATCTACTATATATTAGATAGAAACTACAAATATTAATTCGATAATTAATAACTTAAGAAGTTTGTTAAGAGCATAGGCGGATATACGGAGGGAGGGGCTTTCGGGCTGAAGCCCCACTCCCCCCAAATGGTAAAATATAATCATGTTTTACAGAAAAAAATATTAAAAACTATCTCTGAAAGTATTCTTGTTCGTTTAATTAAATTTAATAGGATTTCAAGTACCACTTAAACACCATTTTATATAGGTATTTAGTTTATTTCTTTTTTTTTTTTAAATTAATTATTGTTATATGTATATGAAAAAAAAATCTTTCGGGCTGAAGCATCCCCAAAATTAAATCCTGGATCCGCTAGTGCCTTAGAGCATTATTGTTTAGAAATTTAAACATTTGAAAACGAATGCAAAAACTCATATGATAAAAAATAACTACTTTCAATTGATTTCACGTAGTAGATAATTAGATAAACATTTTGTCGTTAAAAACCTTAAATTCCTCTAAAGGTGTAGATTTGAAATTCGATGCAAAACAGTGTTTTGTGCAAGGAAAATTTTTAATGATTTTTTTCTTCAAATATCTCCATATTACTACCCCAGAATATCTCAACGACTCTGCCCCTAGATAATATAAAGTATAAAATATTTTTTTTCCAATCCTGGATTGAAAATTAATTCCAAAGTGAAATGAAAAAATTAAAATCGGGATATTTCTTTGATATTGGGCGTAAATAAGGGAGAAAGATATTAGTAATTTTAGATATTTAAAATATGTAATAACTAAAATATAAAAATATTATTTCTTCATCGTGATATAAATTTGGAATTAAATGGATTGGAATTAAATTTCAATCAGGTATTGAAAATTAATTCCTAAGTAAACTGTATGTTTTATGTATGAAATGAAAAAATTAAATTTGGGATATTTCTTTGATATTGGCCGTAAATAAGGGGGAAAGATATCAGTAATTTTAGATATTTAAAATATGTGATAACTAAAATATGAAAATATTATTTCTTCATCGTGATATAGATTTGAATTTTTTTCATTACTCAAATTAAAGATAATTCAAATTAATGATAAATGTAATTTCAGTTGGTTTTACATAATATCTTGGAGCTTTTCGACAGATAAATTAAATAATGCAACTAAACCTATCTTCCCAAACTCTCACTATTTAAAAAATATATAGTTCCCAAAAAATATCGTGATTGAGTTGGTAAAAATAATTTAAATTCTCATTTATTAAATCTTATTGGTTTTTATAATCAAATTATTTTTTATTTTTATAGTTGGTAAATGGTTGACTGCCGTGAATAATGAAGAGAAGAATAGTTGGGGTGATCAGTCAAATAAGAAGGCAAAAATAAATGGTAATATTTATTTTTGACTTCTTATTTGACTGATCAACCCCAACTATTCTTCTCTTTATTATTTTTTATTTTTATTTTAAGAAGGATAGATTTTTTCCGAATGAAGGAAGCTAGTCGACTGTTCTACATATCATGGGTGATATTCAGGACGCAGTCAACAAAATAAAAAAAGATTTTTTATTTGGGCCAACGATTAACAATTAAATCCTCACTATTGGAGGTGATTTTACACCTTATTGTTCTCGGTATTGTAAATAAAAGCAAGTTTTTATTGTTTATTATTTGAAACCACGTCGATTATTAAAGGTTTCTTATTTATGTGATTTTGAAACATCGTCTTCACTTACAGAGTTGGCCCCCGTTTCACCTTGCTAACCAATTCATACTCACCTAGAGGTATTAATCATACTTAGGTATATTAATCACAGGTAGCTAATCCATTAGGCACAAACACTATCCACCTGTTAGGTCACAGCACTGACATCCACCACCACCTTGACCCACATCTGACCCGCAACACCTGACACTTTACCTGTTGCTCGTCGAGGTAGGCGCTCACCGGCGTACCGGACGGGGGTACGGCGTCCGTCAAGTGCCCGTCGACGAACACCCAAACGTAGAACATCAGAGCTCCTGTCCGAACTAAAGACTGAAGTACAAAACTTTTAGAGCGGCAACCAAGGACCGCACTCCCCACCACGGGCCGGCAAAGGTTTTCGCAACTTCGTAGAACTGAGTCAGAGCAAGCCTCCAAGAAAGGAGGGGCGCTGCGGGTGACGCAGGAGGATATTACCGTGGATGACAGCTATCGCCATGTGCTGGGTGTCAAGCACGTAGCTTGGGGAGGAACCAACTCGTCCATCCTAGGAAACTAGTTAGATGTATTCATGCTCAATGTAGAAGACTTCGCTAAATCTCGTCGGACAATGAGAGTAAGCAAATAATAAATAACGTTTTGGGTATTTTGCTCATTAGCCCCACCAGTTACTTTTTCAATTGGAAAAAGAAACTATTATATAAAAGTATCAGCTACATTTGAATCAATGTTGTTATTCTTCTATTATATAAACATCTGTTAACAGCTCATATTTTATGTGATTAAAGAAAACACATGATATCCTGATAAGAACACATCATATAAACAATGATTCCTGATAAAACTTAAAGCCTTTCTTTTCTTCATTACCCAAACTGGAGTATAACCTAAACGAGTTCATTTTACTAACTAAATGAATCTGTTAACATATGTTTATATAATGGAAGAATAACAACATTGATTCAAATATAACTGATACTTTTATATAACAGTTACTTTTTCCAATTTAAAAAGGACTAATGCGCAAAAGACCCAAAGTTTAATCCAGAAAAAGATGATTAATGTGGCAAAAAATTATCGTTAGGTCAGATAGAGTAATAATCCGCTGTACAGATTCCTTTTAAGTATTAACATACGTCTAAAACTTCCTGAATGGTTTCATCTATTCCTGACCTACAACATTTTTATATTCGAAACAATCAATATATGGTCAACAAGTCAAAATATGGTGCGTTTCCACATTAAAAATTTGTTGAAAAACATAACCGTATGAAATGGCCTAGATAGTTATATCCCTTGAGTTTAGCAGTTTATTATTATTAAATAAAAACTAGAAATTAAATTTAAAATTATTACATAAATGCCTAATTACTTACACCAATCAGCGGAGTATTACTGAGTAGTAACCTTAAACTATTTTGAGTACTGAATTCGAAGTATTTTACTCAAATTGAATGACTATTGGGAATTCAATCACTACTTCAGTTAATCGTTTGACATCAACTGAAGTAGTAATTAAATTCTTTGGTACTCAAAAAAGGTCAGTATTTGAGTAAAATACTTGGTACTCAGTACTCAAAGTAGCATTTGTCCATCTCTGCATTACTCATCCATTATCCGAAAAAAAGTTAATCATTTTAAGCACTAGGGTAAGACTGAATCCTACTTCGTTGTGCGGATATAGAATACCAAACTGTCCTCTACCAACCCACTCCCTTAGAAAGAAAATTCAATTCACGGACTCTGATGCTAAAAATACATAATCGAAGGCTGAGTACTAATTTATGTTGACAAATAGAAAAGATTCAAAAGACCATCGCCACTTCAACTCAAGGTCGAAAGAGCATTCGAAATCAACCTACAACCTCTCACCCAGTTCAATATAATAAATCAAGATGAAATCACCTCAAACCATTGAGAGCGAACCGTAAACAAGATATGTCGACATGGGATGGAGCACTTGTATCATCTTTAACCATCTGGTTTTACTACTTTTGTGTCATGAGTGGGAGCATAAATAAATTTAGATGTATTATTAGTAAAGCTATTTAATACGAAATTGAATTAATAATCCTCAAGCTGTTATATCTCAAAATTTGGATCACCACATGGATTTCTCAACTCAATCATATAGTATATTTGTTTTTTTTTATATCACGAAAAAAATCGAATTGATTGGTATCAGTCCTTTAAGATATTGCAAGTTATCTGTTTGAGGAGTTTATAGGGGGGTTAAATAGGGGGGACTAGTTTTATGTCGAAATAAGAATTTGTGGGGATTTTTCTTGGTTGAGTCAATAGACACGTAAATCTGAGACGCGAAGGAAGGAATTTTATACTTTATTTCTTTAGGATTGTAGTTTGTTTGTAATATCGAGTGTGTAATACGATCTATAATGGCTGAGCAGGTACTGAAACCTGAGGAACTCCTACTAAAGGTGATCTAATGAATGAAAGTTCTGAGCCTTAGCTGACAGAGAAAAATATGTCAAGAAGAATGTACAGAAGAATGAGATAGTAGGTAGGAGTGAATATCGTTTCAAGTTTGAAAAGTAGTTCCGTGTGGTATATTCTTATAAAATACTTGAGCGACTTCCAGATATAAAGTTAAAAAAAATATACAGTTTTAAATAACAATAATAATAATAAGGCTTAGCGAACTCGAACCAATTATATTACCATGTACAGTTCCCGCAATTCAGCGTTGTGTAGCCGCCTAGGTTCTCCGATTGACTGATCCGTCTTCGGTCGGGATATTCTACGCAATACTTCATTTTCAAAAACCTTAAGACAAAATACTATGTTTTAATTTAAAAATAGTAAATAAAATGGATGAAAATATTTTCGGTTAGTTAGATATGGGAAAGCAGTAGAGGGGACACAGAGACGCATTCCGGACAAATCCACTCCTCCGCAGAGTTTACAATGGACACGTTGGGAATGTAAGTTGGTATTTACAATAAGGTCAGAGGATATTAAGATTCCTCGAGAAGCTTCTCAATCCAGTTCCTTCTGCAGGCAAGGAGCCTAGGTGCTTCCTCCTCTACATTGCTACTTACTCTAACCACTAAACGTTCCGGTTGTCTCTTCTAATCGCACAGTCAAATGAGGCGATGACTCAATCGGAATCCAGGAGGCTGAGGCCAGCATGATCTGTTAGCCATCTTCTCCTTTCACTTCTTCCTCAGATTCCCCGGCGCCCGGCATTACATTCTCTGGTATCCAACAACAACAATATATAAGTTGATAACATCGATGCATCTTCTTAAAAGTTTTCTTAATAACATATTGTCTACTATAACCAACTTTCAGGACGCTCATAACTATCCCTATCCCTCATCAAAATACCATATCCAGAAGATCTTTCAGAAAAATATTAAAGACTGTGATTAACTAAGATTTTTAAGAAGTGAAAACATCAACAAGGCGAGATTAATAATTTGAAATATAAATTATAAATTATAGCTCATAATAAAGAGAATAAAATGCTGAACATTTCCCTCGTTTACAGGATATAGGTTCGAAAATTAGTTTCTAAGATATTTAATATAAAAGATACCTTCCATAAAACCGGTTATCAGTTTTCCACATTATTTGGTTTTCGACATTATTTTTGCTCTTTTCCGCTGTCTAACACAGCGTCGCGTTAAGATACAATTTTAATAGCTCATAGTGGATGAAATTATTTCCCTCGCTAACAATATGCAAGTCCGATTTTCAGTTTTTGAGATATTTCAATCCATGTGAAAAAACACTTCAATTAATCGACTCCCGTCGACTTTACCCGGACGTTACACTTCGGAGATCTAACTGCTCATCTAATTCACTTTCCATAAAAAGTGCAAAACGCGCCTAAAAAAAGTTTTCACTTGAAAAAATAAGTTTTTAACTAACCCAAACTTTTTGTGATTCATATGCAAGTAAATGTAGGTATCTTCTGTTTGTGCGAACCATCAATATATCTTTTTGAAGAAAATCTCTAGGTTCGATCTATAAATAATCCACTATCTCTACATTGAAAAAAACACATAGCACTCACAATATCATACACATGGTAAATGATATTTAAACTTAGACTTCAATTCAATGGTGGACTGGCGTCGTCCCAAAGTTTATTTATTAGAAAATTGATTGATAAATAATATTATGAATTATTAAAGACTATTCCAAAAAAACAGGATGGTATTCTTCACTATAACATTCACATATCATTCATATATGGACAGGTTTATTTGGATGGAATGACAGTCATATTTTTTATTTGTATTGCTTAGATCGAAACAATCAAAAGAACCCAGTAAGAGTAAGTAAGAACAGTGAGTAAGAAGTCCCTCAGGTATACGCCATATCCTACTACACCTGCCTTTAAAATAAGACTTGTATAAAACTCTCTTCTGTACTCCACAGTTCAACCTCGCGGGTCAGAACAGTTCGCCAACCTTAAAAAGACGAACAAAAAAAATCTTGAAAAAAAAAAATGACCACAACGACCAAGTTCAGACATTTCCGATTCTAACAACCGGATTCCAAAAAGCCAAATTGGAAGAGAAGAGGCTAGAAATATTGGTGATTAGAACAGGATTATACAGGAGCCGAGGAAGCTGGATGATAAGGAGCAGGCGAGAGGAGGACGAGGCCCGGCATAGGCCACTTCTTCAGACGCTGCGGTCGCGGGACACAACCGCAGGTCGCAATCAGCCGCTAACGGTCCGGGTGAAATGCACACATCAGTCGTCACTTCTTTGGCCGGCTGGGTACCGCTACCGGAGGATGGTCTCCATTATCTGGTCCACCGCCAAGGAGGATTCGTCATTGCCAAACGATGGACATTGTTAGTTCTCCCATTCTTTAGCTAGTAAGGGAATCCTTAAATATGTAGGTGCTACAGTTCGAACTAATAATAAAAGAGAGAGCATTAATAAAATTCAAACTGATCCCTAATAGAGAAATTAGTAACCATCGACCTGTAGTCCGTGGTATAGGCCCCTCTTTATCAAATTAATAACATCTGCCTAAAACTTCATCTCATCGCAAACGTACAACTATTTAAATTACGCATTCTAGAAATTGGGGCGTTTTCAATCTAGAGGTCGGCAAACTTTGTATATTTAATTAGATACCAAAAACTCGTAAATATCCATTTTCTTTCCACTTGGATCATATGATAATTTCAGCACAAAATCGAGAAAAAAGTTGGCCATCAAAAATATTGAGTTTGGAGTGACCTAAAGCCCCAAAATGTCAAGGTTATATACACCAAACGGCCCAATATTTTTGTAGGCCACCTTTTTTCTCGATTTTGTGATCAAATTATCTTATGATCCAAGTGGAAAGAAAAAGGACATTTACGAGTTTTTAGTAACTAATTAAAATATACAAAGTTTGCCGATCTGCAAATTGAAAACGCCCAAATTTCGTAAATTTTCATAAATTAAATAGTTGTAGGTTACGATGAGATGAATAACTATTTACAAAGTTTTAGGCGGATGTTAATAATTT